TTTTTTTTTTTTTTTTTGGGGGGGGAGGGGGCAGGATTAAGGTGATAGTGTTGAGCTTTAGCCCAAATCTCAGTGTGTTTTCTCTATCCTGAGTACAAATGTATGAGATGCTTCTGTTATGAGATTCCTCTAAGAGGTGTTTACATTATTCTCTGAATATTATCTTCCTTCTTTCTGATAATGAACTGCAGGTTCTGCAGCTGTACAGTCTGGAGCTCATAGGCTTGCTGGCTGTGGAAATACTGGAACATCCAGAGTCTCTACAGTACTGCATAAAGGAAGGATTTCTTTAGCAGCTGAAATATTATATGAAATGAGGGATAGGGAGGTGACTGAGAGCAGAACTTGCTAATGAAGATTGAAGCAAATGATCTGGTCAAGATACAGGACTGGGTAATGAAAATTCTTGACATTTTATGCAAAGAATTTCTAACTATTCGGCACAACTCTGGTGCGTAAGGCATTGTAAAAATCAGATGTGAGTTTACAGACTTGAACTGTAGGAAGGCTGGGGGTAATTGGAGGAAGTAGGGCTTGAGCGGAAACAAGCTACAATTTAACCAGATTTAAATCTCTGCTGGAAACAGTAACTGCAGGTAGAATTGGAAGTGAATCAAATGATTCAGTAGTGCACAGCTGGATGTAGGAATCACAGACACAGTGGTGGTGCTTGAAACTGTTAGAATCAATGAAATTCAATAAAATTTTAGGAAAATGGTGTAAGGTGTGATGTCCCAATCCTACAGGAAAGGCAGAAGATACTCTTCAGAGAGGACAGGGATGAGGGGGGAAAAGGAAATTTTTGAAGAGAAGAGTTCTGTAGCAGAAGATGGACAATATTTGAAAGAAGCAGATGGGAAGTCCTAGCACTATACAGTAGAACCCTGAGTAATCGTTCTGAAGAAAAAAAAAAAAGGCATTAGGCATGCCTAAACAGAAAGAAAAGTTGAAGCAAATGTGTAAGACATTAAAAGAGATGTAAGAACCTTTGGGCAATGTTTGCATGTAAAATCTACTAACAAGTTTTGAGACAGAAGGCATGTAGATGGTGAAAGAGTTGGGTAAATTTATAGATAATGTCAAGAATGGTTAGGTGTTATCTTTATATGGATGATACTTCCCAATAAAATAATTACA